AGTATTGTTTCGTTCCACGAATTTTTCCAAGGATTTTACTTTGGATTCTTTTTAAGTCCAAGTTGGTGTGACCACGTGACCTGTCATGTTAACAGCTCAATGTGCAAGAGTGAGTGTGAAACACCTCAAGATGAGGCTGATACATTTATGGCTACATGTTTACTTCTTAAGTTTCATATGGTGTTCCCACTTTGTGCACTCTATTTGTAAAAATAAAATAAAAAAATGAAAAAAAAATATGTATATGTATATGGTTAGTTAGTTAATTTTATTTAACGACGATCAGCATCTAGGCTATTTACGTCGGGGACTAGGCAATTTTAAATTTTTAAATTTAGTTTCTTGAAGAGTTTTAAAATTTCTGTTACTATCATTGGACTATCTGAACACAAAGGGTGCATATTAACAGGGAGGGAACTTCGAATTTTGATACGTGTGGCATAGGTTTTAGGGCAAGAAAGTAAAATATGGTCGATTGTAAGGGGGGAGTGTTGACAGAGAGAGCATAAAGGAACTGGAGATTTTGAAATTAAATGAGAATGAGAGAAAAAAGTATGGCCGATTCGCAGTCTCGCAATTTGGACTTCGCAGGTGCGGTGTTTGTTGAAGGAGGTGTTATCATATGGCTTAGGTATTCTTTGAAGTAAGTTTTTGTCGTTGTTCATCCAGTAGTCTTCCCAGGAATCATTGATGTGAGACTGGAGCGCTTTTTTCAAATCTTGTGGAGGAACGAAATGTGTGTGTAGAGGGGGACTATTTGGATTACAACAAGATTTGGCAATAGTATCCGCTGTTTCATTACCGATGATTCCCGAATGGCCCGGGATCCAAGCCATAATGATGTTATGTGGTGAATTTTGAAGTTGAGCAGAAATGTCAAAGAGAAGAGGGTTATCTCCTTGATTTTCTATGGCTGTAAGACCAGAGAGGGAGTCGGACATTACCAAAAATTTTTGAGGTTGCGAGAAAGTTATCGTTTTAGTGTACTTGACGGCTTCCAGAATTGCATAGAGTTCTGTTGTAAGAACAGAAGACAAAGGAGAAAGAATTTGTAAAAAGGACATATTTTCCTCAAGTTCAACAAAAGCACAGCCAGCACCATTTTCTGTCTTTGATCCATCCGTGTACAGCCGCCTATAACCATCATACTTTTCTAGGAAGTTGGAAAAACTAGTTTGTTGCTGTTGGACACTAATATCATTTTTCTTGACAGAGCTTAAAGAGGTGTCTATATTGATCATAGTCTGAAGCCAGGGTGGAAAAGGAGGAATTTCACATCTAGTTGTTAGCAACTGTTTGATGTTATGTTTTGACTTGAAATCATCAAGCATTGTAGTGACACATTTTGAAATAGTTTTAACAGTGGCCGTATCTTCTAATTGTTTGGAAAAAAGAGAAGAATAAGTGGGATGATTAGGGAGACTCATAACCT